TAAATTTGATAAGCAACATAGTGTTATATCTGAGACGTAGACATCCTTTAACATGAGAGTGGTTTTACTTGATTGTATTCATATCAGAGTTCTGATACACGCTGAATTTAGTTGATCTGAAGGGCCCCTTACTGAATAATACGTCTGAGCTGTTGGCAGCGTGGTGCTGAAGTCATTAAGAGTGTATCTGTTGGGGGCTTTGGATCCGATTCACGCTATTGTAGACCTCTCCATACCTACTGCAGGGAGAGCTCTCGAAATAATAGGTGTTGAGAGTAAAAATACGCTCTCATCACTGTCACATCATCTGTTGCTTCTCCCTCACAGCCAGGACTTCTGCAAGCCGAGCTCAGGGTGATTGATTTGCCTGTACAAAGTGTTGGTACTGTAGGGCAGACTCATCTTCCTCAGGTTTATGTATGCTGTTACCAGCCCCATTTCATTATTTGGGCACCGAGGCAGACAGCACTGAGGGCCAGACCCATAAAATATTCAGGCATCCAACTTCCATAGAGAGGAGAGGACTTGGGTATCTCTGTACTTTTGTGGATCTTGACCTGAGTTGTCATAGGGCAAGTAATCAGCAGCAGAACGAGTAATTAAAGGTGGAGCCCTCAAGTCCTGGGTCAGTGCCCTACTTGTTTAAGTTATTTCACTCCAGCCCTGTATTGTGTTCTGTCTGGTTGGTTTCAAATTTTGGAACTTTTTGAATTGATCTGTAGCTCAGGTATTTGGGAAACTTTGTTTGATCATATAGGACATTTAACTGACTTCTTTCTATGATCTTTGACAGATTTGAGTTTCTGAGGAAAAGGCAGAAGACCCTATCAGACAATTCATCTGTTCAGTAAATTTCAGTAAAAATCTTTCTGCTGTCTTTTACCGCTGTCAAGCTGAAGGAAACCCTGTTTCAGTAGCTTTTTTTGGAAATCTTAATTGGCATATTTTTTCCAAAGTATAGCCAAGCTCATTACCCCAGCCCAGCTCAGTGTTTGTTGTTTAATTTGATGAACAGTCATTGTAAAAGTCGGATAACAACTTAGACTTTGTGGGAACCATTTTGCATCAAGAAATGAAAAACATACTGCAAGTCCTCATCAGCTTTTCTGACAGGGTTTTGATGCTTTCAGCTATGTTTAGAGATTTCTAATTGATCGTCCACGAGGAGGACTGCTGTCCTTCACGGGTCACTGAAAACTGGTGAGCCATCAAGCTGTCTATCTGTAAAGGTTATAGAGGTTTTTTTTTTTTTTTTTCCAAGTTGCCAATCGTGTTTAAACGGCCCTTAGGCAGTACCTTTAACCAAGCAATGAACCGATATATTTGGAAACAAAAGAACCTTTGATTTCAGAATTTCATAAGTCTCAGTTATGTTTTCTTAATCCACATGCTGCATTACGATTAGCTTCAATACCGGAATTCCTTCTTTATCATTTTATTTTTAAAGCCTTTAAAAGTGAGAGACTAGCTGAAATAGAATTGACTCATGTTGGACTGAAGTGATTCTCAAAATTAATACATGTGAATTAACATACATACTTCAAATGATCACACATGTCAACTACTGAATTGAATGTCCTTAGCTATAAATTATTGTTTCTTCTGTGTTGACTATAAAAGAGGCCGAGTTGCACATTTCTAAGTCATATTCTTTTAAATTATGTGAGAACACAATTCCGAAAGGAAAGGCATAACTCATTTTACTCAAAAAGCTGCTGAATTGCTAAATCTTAAAAACTCATTATTTTTGAGCGGTGATGACCTTCGGAAAATTTCAGCCTCAGAAGAATTTGGCTTAGAAACTTAGGAACAACTGAAGAAGGGGGGATGGAGGAAAGGAACTGGTTGAAACATGGTGTTTTTGGTAGTTACCCACAGTACAAGCAATGCTACAGTATCAGCCACGCTGCTTGTGTTTGGCTGGGGAGGAGAGCGTAGCTCTGTCTGCAGGTGTGTACATGCAAACACCCACAGCCACCCCCACCCCCCCCATTTTATTACTAGTCTTGAAAGCAGTCAGCCAGTTGTGAATTGCCCTTTGCTATTTCCTCATGGTCAGCCTCTTCTCTAAGACAGTTTTAATTGTATATGAAGATATACAAGAAGGATGTTGAGATGTTGGAGCGTGTCCAGAGAAGGGCAACGAGGCTGGTGAGGGGTCTGGAGAACAAGTCTTATGAGGAGCGGCTGAGGGAGCTGGGGTTGTTTAGCCTGGAGAAAAGGAGGCTGAGGGGAGACCTCATCGCTCTCTTGGTTTAGTGGGCATGGTGGTGTTGGGTCGACGGTTGGACTCGATGATCTTGGAGGTCTCTTCCAACCTTAATGATTCTATGATTCTATATACAATTATGTATACGAAGATACCTTTAACTCAAAATGTTAGTTGGAGCCTCAAGCCTGCCAAATGGCACACCAGCTGCATGCTTTGCTCAGTAGAATTTACAGTCTGAATGACAATCTCAAGGTAAGAAGAGAAACTAAATTATAGCTGAGCTGACATGAAAGATGTGATCTTTTCTGAGAAAATGGGCTTACCTTCGTGCACATGGAAGACACAACACAGCCTGTCCTTGATTCCCCTTTGGATAAGGGATGCTTAAGAGAGAGGTGCATTGTTTAAATCTCTCACCCATCCAATAGTAGCATTAGCAATTGAATTGGAACAAAGATATTAACCTTTGATCTGAGGTTATTTGTCTCAATGCAGCTCATAATTACGAGAAAAAATTATGGTAATAAATAACAAAGAAAAATGCTGTGCAAGTGAAAGTCATTGTCTGCAATATATATTGGCAGAACTTATACACCCCTGCCAGGACAGGGAATAATGAAGGTTAAAAGATAATGTAATAAAAAAAAAAAAAGGGGGCAGGGTAAATTTCCTTGCCGTTGAGTCACTGGATTTCTGTCCCTGTTCTGTAATGTCAAAATATTTAACAAATGTAGTTTAATAAAAGGATCAGCTGATTAAACACATATGCAATAATATATAGAGAAAAGAGACAAAACTATTTTGGGCCTGATCTTGCAAGCGTTATGATGCAAGTAGTCTCTGTGAGAATAACAGGAGTGAATCCTTTCTGTGTTACTCTTAATAGAAAGCACACTTCACTGCACTTTTAACTGTGGTAGCTTTAAATTATAGCATGACGTTTTGACTGTAATGGCAAAAAAAGCCTGTTTAGTGAGTATAAGAAGGGTTCTCATGCACTTAATGCACTGTTCTGAAAATAAGTAACTGTAAGCTGTGCCAAGAGGATATTATCTAGAATGATTAATGTCTCATGTCCTGACTTCTCCAACTTTGTTTTCAGGTGGATACGTTGCTAACAGTCTAGCAATTATGACAGATGCACTTCATATGTTAACTGACCTTAGTGGTATTATTTTGACCCTGCTTGCTCTCTGGCTGTCTGCAAAATCTCCCACAAAGAGGTTCACTTTTGGATTTCATCGCTTAGGTATGTAGATAATCAGCTTTTGCTATTAACAGAGTATTTTAAGCAACAACTGTAAAGATCACCTAATTCTAGAAGAATAGGTAACTAGAAAGAAAGTAGCAGCAAACCTAAAAGTTGCTTTATGTTTTACACCCTGACTCTAATGTCCTTTCACTGGCCATTGTGGATCCACTACGTAGGTTGTATTGCCACAAGGGGATAGATAATAAAAAAATTTTAAATTTTAAATCTCAGCCAAAAGTGAAGTTTGATGGCAGAGTTTCACTCACTGGGAGCAGGATGAGTCTCTCCATCTCTGTCGAACTAGGACTTAGCAGATTCAGAGTTGAATTCTGAATGCTTGATTCATCTTCCATCTTAAAGGGGAAGGTTAGGGAATTGGATACATGATGACATTGTAAATATGACTTCCTACAAATGAACCATGGCCTAAAAAGTTTAAAAAGGGTTCAGAGGAGAGAAGCTGTCCCCAGCAAGAACAAGGGTGGATATGCAGCTGTGTTTCACAGCCCATCCATACTTACTGGGCTGTTGCATTAGGTGAGGCCCCTGTGCACCTTTGTGCTTTGGAATGGAGGCTGTTGAGCAAGGGAGGGACACATTCTTTGGTCACTCACTGCTGTACCACTGTTACTGCTTGTGTGACACTCTGAGGAGCTTGTTGATGCAGGAGCTGTACGTGTCAGTCCTGTTCACAACAGATTATTGCCAGTGCCCAGGATTTACAAAGTCCCATTGACTTCAGTAGAATTATGATACGAGAAAAAGGTCCTATTCAATGTGAAAAATGACATCTTAATCCAGAACGAAAAAGTTCTGTAGAGCGTATTATCAGAGAGCTCTGCCCTGCCAGAAGCCACATAAATCAGTAGTATTCTTGCGCTCCCCAAACCACACAAGGCAGAGGTCAAAATGTCCCATGGTTTGCAATTCAGTAAGTTACTTAACCTCTGCCCATTTTAGGCGTCTGTAAAAAGAAGTATAAACAGAATGATGTACTAAACCTTGGAAGGGTGTTTTCAGGATTCATTACTTCATGTTTGGAAATGTAATGATGATAAAGGGTGTTTTCGTGTGGTTGCTAACTGGATATAATAATTCATCACGTACAGCTGCAGGTCTTGTAGACATTTTACCACAAGCTTCAACCTTTATTTTTCATGGAATAGATCATTTCTAGCGTCACAGTTTGCTGCCCCTACTCTATACATTCTATAGCCTATATTTTTCAAGGAATTTCAAAGTCTTGTGTAGTCATTATTTGCAATTCTTATTTTGGCTGCTAGAACAGCAGTAGAATTCAACAACTCCATCACTCCTAGTCATTTGTCATCAGTCACTAATGCATGAATGCATAACTCTGTACACCAGCAAAGATCTTTGGGGATTTAGCAAGAAAGCATTAACAATGCCAGCATTTCCCATTACAAACTTTTCTTTCAAGAAGTTTTCATTTTGCAATAGGAGCTCCCCTAATACTGAAACCTGACCTTGCAGGTATGCCCCTGGCATTTGCTCATACTCTCCAGAAGGATGTTTGCTAGCATTTATACATACTTTAACCCTATTTTAAAATAATTTGAGTAATTTATGTGTCTTTGTAACTTTTCTAAAACCAAATAGTACATACATTGAACTTGCCATGGCCTAGCTTAAAACAGGAGTTAATCTTAAGAAAAATAAAAGAAACTTATTTAACCATTAAAATCTTACTCAGTTCTGTAAATTTTCACTGACTTTTCATTAATTTGAGGGCTCCACAGCACTTTGCAAACACAAATCCCTGAGGATTCCTGCCACCACACTTTCTGTACCTTTCCCCCCCCATTTTACTGCCAAGAAAAACACTGGCCAGCCTGACCCAATGGTGGCCCACGGGCCAGATCTGCCCCATAGAGTTAGTCCATATCGCCCACCATCTTCTCCCTGGGCACCATCTTCCTGCTACAGGGAACAGCTTCTCAGTTCTGCAACAATTACTCCTCCTTTTCTGCTGCCCCATGCCAGTAGGTGGTCAAACACTAGAACAGGTAGTAGAGTCTCTACAGTTGGAAATACTCAAAACCCAACTGGACACAGCCCTGAGCAACCTGCTGTAGTTGACCCTGCTTTGAGCAGGGCTACACAGTTTCCAGGGGCTCCTTTCTACCTCAGCCATTCTGTGTGAGTAGCAGCAGTGCAGCTCTCGCTGTAGGAGGAGGACGACTAGAGCCTGGAGGTTGGGGGGCAGAGTTTCTGTGGCTGCAGTGAGGAAGGGGAAGTGGGTAAAGGCCCCGCAAGAGACCTCCAAACCTTGGTCTAGGCTGTGCAAGTACAGGAGGTGGGATGGTTCAAAATTACTATACACAGTTTTCTAAAGTCACATTTGTGAAATTTATTTGCCTGATTTTAGGGACCCAATCTGAACGCCGTGGCCAGAGGACCCAGTTTCACACATCAGTGAATGCTGGCAATGGAACAAAGCTGCTTCCAGGGCATATCCTCACTGTAACACATTTTTCCAAATAACCTGTATGTAAGAAGCTTGTCAGCAAATAGTATGAGCTCAACAATAGCTCGAATTTCATGAGAGATGTTAAAACATGACAGTGTTAAAAATAGGGTACAGATTGAGCATCTGTCACAGAAAAAATGTGGAGCATTTGTTTAAAGCTGGGAATATGTGCAAGCACTATCTCATCACTGACCTGCTTTGCATTAAGTTTTAAGATAATCTATACATACAGTAAGCATGAAAACATTCTAACGAACAATGTTTCTAGTGCTCATTATCACTTCTGTTTGCAGAACGATGAATTTTCAGTCTCATTCCCATAAACATTGCATTGTAAAGACAACAGACCTATTAGTTGTCTAGTCAAATTCCAGAAGGAAATTAGCACTAGTTTTCATTTGTCTGAATTCTCTTTGAATACATAATATGTATGCTCCATCTTCAGTTTATTCCATTTTCAGTGGTGAAAAGGAAGCTGACAGGTTCGGGAATGGGTTAGGAAAGTGAAGACAAAATAATGGAAATTGCAGACATGTCTAAAAAGGATTATATTCTTGAAGCCAAAAATAGTTCTGTTTCACCACCAAGTGGAGATACCTCCTTCTCAGCAAGGCACTGAGCAGATTTAGGCATAGATAAGAAACCTGGGATTTTTCCATTGCTGCAGAGACAATGTTAGTAATGACAGAATCAGTCAGTCCACTGAGACAGTGCATAGTTCATTTCACAAGAAGTGAAAGATCTCAGCACAAATCTACAATGCTGACATGACGATGACTGTGAAAGAAACTGCAAGGAAAACACTGGTTTCCGTTGCAGAAAACAGTTTTAGATTGTAAAACCACAATATGTTACTTCTCTGGTAAATGCTAATGTGCTATGGCTTCACAAATTTTCTAAAAAGCATTCTGGAAAACCTTCTAAGCAATGTATTATTTTTTTTTAAGGCTGTTGGCCTGAATAATCTGCCTGCTTTTTGAAGAACACTACCACTTGCATGGATATTTCCAGGATTTTCATGTTGCTCTGAAATCATCTGAGATTGTGACAGTTGCCTTTCAGAGCCTTGTTACTGCCTGGTAATGCTGGTAGTCATCCAGGCATTGACACACTACCGAACAGCTGAATGCGTTGGTGTGAGTTTCTTCTCCCATAATGATGTTAAAAATTCAGTGTATGGATCAAGTGATTTTGGTGATATTAAAATGCTTATATAGCTGTGTGTTTTTTACTGTAATATTCAATAAATAAAATTAAGGCAGTTCTGTGTTAGAAATGACACCTTCTGCAGTAACCAAAGTTGTACTACACACCGACAGATTCAAAGCAAGAGGGAGAAGTGAGGCGAATCAATATTCTTAGAGTTATGGTACAGCTAAGAGCGGAATTTTGCCTTTGGGGTATAAATCAGGGCAACATGTGTGGAACAAGGGGGAAGAACAACCATTGCAGTTCCAAGTAAATTAATTCCAACTCTGATCTTTGAATTCACACAGGAAGGCTAAGATCCCAGTGATCCATCTGGCAAGTGACAGTAATGAGCATTATGCATAATGATTACAGATTACTCAGGCATGGCTGTGGATTTACATGCAATACAACGGAGCTAGCATTAAGGTTTTCCCAGTGCTTTTTGTAAAGCCCTGTATTAACTTGCTTGTAACTGAGACTGTCTTAACTGGGCCAGTGTTTTCTCTGTCAGGTATCTTGCCACCTTCTTTTTTTTTTTTCTCTTTTTTTTTCTTTTTTTAAAGTTTCAGCTGCAACAGGGCAATCATTTTCAGAATATGAAGCTAGAGGGTAAAAGTATGTTTATGTTAAAAAGAATCTAGTGACCCATTTGGAAATACCTATATTCCTTATAGTACGACCTTAAAACTGTAGTGTGGACTCATTCTTCTCAGGTTTATGTGCATTCTTACCAGCCCGATTTAATGACTTGGGTACCGAGGCAGGCGGCACTAAGGTCCAGATCCATAAAATATTCAGGCCTGTTTACCTCACATCAGAACAGCAGGAACCTTGTAGAGAGCTGTAACCACTTTCCACAGATGTAAATGGCAGTGGAAGGTGCAGGACAATGAAATACTAGGAGTTTTTATTAACTTTCTAGTTTTCTCTTTATTCAGATGTATGTGCCCTTTTGAAAGTCCCTCCTGATCAGATAAAATTCCTACACCAAAGTGTTGGTCATAACACTCTTGTGAAATATGAGTATTTGGTAAACATTAGATAATGTTAAAACATCATATTACAGCAATACAGAAACTTACATTAAGCAGTCCTTCATAGCTGAAATCTGCAATAAATAACGTGTATGTACGCATATGTCAAGCAGCTTAGGAGTAATACGTCTGACAAGTTTGTATCATTCAGTTTCTTAATCTTTTTTATAATTTTTTCTTCATCCTAAATACAAAAGGATATATAAAAGTCACTTCTAAATCCAGCTTAATACTGTGGACACTTGAAATCAAGCTCCCTCTTATTCGTAGGTGGGCTGGTGATGTTTGAGATCACCTATCTTCCCCTCCTCTAGACAGGGCCTTTGCCTGCGGCTTCTTGGGCAAAAGTTTTGGGTTGTCTGAAGAAGTCACAGTCATCGCCCACGCAGAAGTTTTCAGAGAAAACATAATTTGAGGGATATACTGACAAGGAAGCGCGAAGGAGTTGATTAGAACAAACTCCATTTGTTAATCCTATTTTACGAGTTTTATTTACCACACAACTTGTTAGTTGTGCATTAGGGTTATAATATGCATAAAATAGTTAAAATAATTAAAGCTCTGTCCACGTTCTAATTTGGAAATAGAAATAGATCTGAGACTGACTTTTGTAACGTTGTTTCCTTTCTGTTTGCAGAAGTATTGTCAGCCATCATTAGTGTATTGCTGGTCTATATCCTTATGGCATTCCTCTTGTATGAAGCTGTTCAAAGAACTATCCATATGGACTATGAAATAAATGGCGATATCATGCTGATTACAGCAGCCGTTGGTGTTGCAGTTAACTTAATGTAAGATCTCCCTTTCTCTCCATTAACACTCATAAATGTATTTCTGAATAAGCTGCTAATTCATTCATGGCCTGTAACTTTCTCATGGGATGTAATCTTGCTGGACCTCTTCATTTTCATAAATAAGACAAGAAATGATACTGAGTATTACTTTTTCAATTCTTTGGTTTAAAAGGAAGAAAAAGAAAAAAAAGCAACAAAAAACCCCACCCACCAAACCCTAAAGCCTGTTTCTTGGAGTGTTTTTCTTCTTTCACTTTCAGAATGGGTTTTTTGCTGAATCAATCTGGCCACCTTCACTCCCACTCCCATTCCCACCCTCACTCTCACGTACCTCAGTCGAACTCTCCTAACACAGCCCACAGCGGTAGCCACGGACACGGCAGCCTTGCCGTGAGAGCAGCGTTTGTACATGCCCTTGGGGACCTGGTACAAAGTATTGGCGTGCTCGTAGCTGCATACATCATACGCTTTAAGGTAAGGAATGGCTAGTCTTTGAGGCAGGGTGGAATTTTTTTTAATTTCAACTCCGGTGATTAAAATAAAAAGGGATTTGTTTTTGTAAGTTATTAAAAAAATACTTTGTGATATTCTATTATAAGCTTCATACACATGCAAAATAAGCAAAGACTATCTCTAGTATGTATTTTGTAACTGTTCAAACAAAAAGAAACATTCATGACAAGCAACTGCATTTTCTGAGTCACATTTTTATAAGTGAGCTTATTTTCATACATCCTTTAACACTTTGGAACTTCCCTTGCAGCCAGAATACAAGATTGCTGATCCTATATGTACATATGTATTCTCCATACTGGTGGTTTTGACAACAGTTCGAATTCTGTGTGACACAGGAGTTATTATTCTGGAAGGTAAGATCTGTGCACAGTCTGCAGTACTTTACATGTCAAATACCAGTGAGCATTGGCACTTTCTTCACATCACGATCACCATCTCTAACGAAGTGGACTGTGACTGGAGACCTGTTTATGCTGCTGCTGCTTTAGTCTGTTGGTTCGTGATGGCTCATCTAAGTTGCAGCAGTCTTTAGGTGTCTTTGACCTCTGCCGTGAAATGTACGGAACTTTCTTGTGTGTCTGCAGTGGCTATCAGCTAAACTAAGTGTACATTTGCCCAGGCCCAGTTCTACACTAACTTTACAATAATTAAAGTGAAAAAGTGAATGTGAATGCATTTAAAAGGAGGAACCAAGCTTAGGCCAAATGCCTGGACAGGTGGTTCACGCCTGTCCTGTCTTCCCCTTTTCCGCAAGTGCTGTGGTATTATTTGTGTGCTTCTACTGTTACCGTAGGGGAAGCTACAAGTAAAGAGTGGTGTAAAAAGGAAGAAGAAAAAAAACGGAAAGAAAAAGCTGAAGGATCTTATCTCACGTGGTGACTTAGAGGGAAAGACGCCAGCAACGTTCTTTGCATTATTATAACTAACATGCCAACTATTGCTAGTACTTTTACCTTATGAAAGTGAAAATATTAGGGATGGGAGAAAAATCCTAGGTTTTAGCTGCACCTTCCTAGCTGTCTCATGTGAGCTATTATTGACTTCGTTTTTATTATGTTACGAGGTTAAATCAAAGACCTCAAAATCTTCAATGTCAAGTGATTTTGCTGTCATTTAGGAGGGGGAAAAAAAAATCCAACAAAATGGAAGTTCACCAAGAAGGCAAAAATGGTAAAATTTGCTTAAGAAACCTCAATTAGCTCCAGGGCAATAGCTAAGATTTAGCTGAAGAAAACAGATAAGACAAACTAATGGTGTATTAGATTCTAGATGTTTGAGCTGTAGCTGTTTGCATAGGTATCCCAGTTGTCATAAAAATCTCCACATTAATGATGTTATTAAAAGTGATGATAGGTGGGCTTTATGTATGCTAGGGAATTTTTCCAACTCGGATTCAGGATCTTCAGAGAATGGACCTGCATTTATATTGGAGACTACTGCTACAACATCAGGGTCCTTGGAGTTGTATCAGCTTTCAGTATTCTTTTTAACTTAAGTTTCATCATTATACTAGGATTGCTAAATTAAAAACGTAAATTATTATCTAATACAAGCAATGAGATTCTAGCTTTTAATATAGATTTATAAGGCAGCATGGAAGTCTATCAATAGCATGATGCGAGATATCAAAATTTAAGTCCATGTTTCCTGGGAAAAAGAAAGCTGTAGAAATAATACCAGGCAGTTAGCTAGTTATTTATCAGCTAAATAATTTTCTGTTAGTCTTCACTAGAAGGAAAATTTTGTTTAATATGAGACAATCCTAGACACGGAACTTTGAGAAGAGATGGTACTGGAACTAACATAATTTAAAAAAAAAGTAAGGCATCCGGTTCAGAGAGGAGTCATCCAAAAATTCTGAAGAAATTTGAGAAGAAGGTGGCTGAATTCCTCTCACGGTATATATAAAACTCAATAAAACTGGAAAATAAGCAGTAAAAAGCTATGATAGAAACAAAACTATTCAGAAACAGAGTTATTCAGTATTTTTGTACTAGTTTTTGAGCCCATGTTGATCATCTAAAATTTTGATTCTGCCCTTTGTACAGGTGAAGGGTTGAGTAGGGAAGCTATAGAGGTGCTGTAGCTGCTGAAAACACTACGTCCAGAAGGACTTAGTCAGTGCAGTCATTGGTTTGCAAAGAAGCCACGCTATAAGACAAAAAAGTCATGCGTTAACCACTGCAGAGGGATTACTATGAGCATTTGAAAATGATACCAGTTACTGGAAGAGAGAAGTTTCAGGAGACAGCAGGAGGCAGGCCCTAGCTTTTTTTTTTTTTAGGTTCTGACCTTAGAGTCTGGTCTAAGCAGTTACTAGGGGTTAGAAGTTGCGGTAAAGTTGTCTACACAAGTACATCGCTCCAAAGGATCTAACGCTGACTATTGCCAGAGAGCAGATTCTGGGCAGGACAAATTACATTTGAGACAACGCTGCAATTCCTGTACAACATCTGTATCCATACTGGACTTAATATGCCAATTTGCATATTCTTCTCTATTGGTAACTTGGAAGTTACTAATCACTTCCAACAGCACAAATTACAAAACTCTTTTGACGCTGAGATCTGTCATGACATTTTAAAGGCCACTGAGAGTTTGCAGAAGACCGAAGTAATTTTTATCTCATGTTTTGTATCACAGGAGTTCCAAGGCATTTAAACGTGGATCGCATTAAGGAAGACTTGATGAAAATTGAAGATGTTTATTCTATAGAAGATTTAAATGTTTGGTCTCTCACTGCAGGGAAAACAACTGCCATAGTCCACTTGCAACTAGGTAAGCTGCTGTATAGCATAATTCTAAATTAAATCTAAGTGTAGAAAAAAAAACCCCAAAACATTTTCTCTTCATATTGTTATTTAAATTGAACCAGGAAATATCATTCTGGGGAAAAAAATCTACTAACTATGGTTTTGTACAGTGAGCTACAGAACCCATTGGCCCAGAAAGACACAGTGTAAATGAAAATTGTGCAAAGCAAATATATTCATACTGAAACACCCAGTACAGAGTCTTTGCGGGGCGGGGCGGGGGGGGAAGGATTTCTCCTCAGAAATTCCCTTATTTCGTCCAGGGAAAGGCACGGTGAAGTTCTAATGTGGAACAGTCTGACATACGAAAAATAAATATGTTTTGCCAAAACATGTGCTGATTTAGATATCTAATAGTACCCTGTTAACAAATAATATTAAATATATAATATTAATTCTTGGTAAGAAAGCTCAGTTTTTTGGGGGAGTGGTGTCTAATACAGTTTTATCAAGATGTGATTCTAATTAGAGGACATAGACCTAAAGGTGTAAAATAATATCTAGAGAGTACATAGTGACCACAGAACAAAATTAAATTAATAAATGAGTGTGAACAAAGATTATTCTAGTTGGTAACACTGTGAAAAATTTGAGAACAGCTGGATTGTCCAGGTTTCTTGAGGAGTGAATTCTATTAATTATTCTCTTGATTTTCCAGTTCCTGGTAGTTCATCTAAATGGGAGGAAGTTCAGTTCAAGGCCCGACAACTGCTGCTGAACACATTTGGAATGTACAAGTGCTCTGTCCAGCTTCAGAGTTACAAACAGGAGATAAGCAAAACCTGTGCAAGTTGTCAGAGTTCCAGTGCCTAATTTCGTATGTTTTGGGAACTGCTGCCTTATTCTTTATCTTGTAGTCAAAGACTGAGAGCAATAAATGCAAAACGAAAATGATGAAATAGAAACCATTAATATGTGGATTTGTACCATGCAGCAGGGAGAACTGGTGCTGCAACAAGTGCAGTGGTTGCCCGACAGAACACCTATTTCACTCTCTCCTTTGTACTGGTTTATTCAATTTATTATGATTTTGAGACAAAGCTGTTTTCAGATTATTGTTTACAACCTGCAATGTGGCTCTGCAGATACCTCACAAATTACAGTCCAATATTGTCCTTTAATAACTACGTACCACAAAGTACCTGCACTCCAAATGGAGCATCAAGTATTCAGTATTTCAATTAGTCTCTAATGCTGATCATGCCAGGGTTCCATAATGTGTCATGATCCCTGAATTCATTATACAGTATTTTTGCAATAGTAATTTTCATACAGTATCTTAAACTATAATGTATACAGTGCTAGTTGAATTGTTTTGGAAACTGTCTCTTTGGAGACACTGCAAAATACAGAATTTACTGTACCCAGACCAGAAAGTTAGCTTTAATCTGGGCATTCAGAGATCCAGACAGGAAGATCCTTGCCCAGACTTCTGGTGTTTAACTAGAGGCCCAACACTACTGGACCCAAAGTGTTTTAAGTGATCGGTTATCTTTAATGTATTTTAGAATAGGGTTTATACATTAGAAACAGCTTATTTATTTTACAAAGTTTTGACTTGTAAGATGATTTTATTATTAATAATCTTGAATGTCTAAACCAACATTTGATTCACATTAAAAGGCCAGCTGATTAGCATGCATTCTAATTATAATTAATGTCCTGTAATTGATCATTTTTCCATGATTGTTTTGTTTTACAAGAAAAATCAAATGATAGACACTATGCTTGACATGGAGATACTCTCAAACACAGTCTACAGACATGCAAAACATATCTTCTAACAGGAAAGTGGGGAGCAGAAGTTTTAGATATGTACTATTCCCTCAGTCACAGACCTCTGACCTTTTCGTCTTTGCTTTGAGCACAGTATTT